TCCCCGGCAGCAATGTACTCGGCTTCCGTCGAAGACAAAGACACGATGCCCTGCGTCTTGCTACCATGGCTGACTAGGGTACCTCCGACCGTCGTCGCCAACCCTGACCCCGAACGGCTATCCTCCGTGTCGGCGTAGCTAGCGTCTACGTACACGGAAGGCCCTAACCCCGATCCCCGTTGGTAGGTGATGCCGAGGTCCCTCGTCCCTTTCAGGTAGCCGAGGATCTTCTGTATGGCATCCCAGTGCCGCTTCGCCGGGGCGTGGGCGTGGCGCGCTACCGCACGCGCGGCGAACGAGACGTCTGGACGCGAGAAAGTCGACACCCACATCATGCTGCCGATGGCCTTCCTCACCGGCCACTCCCCTCCTTCCTCATCCTCTCGCTTCGGCCCTAGATCGGCACCAGGGGTAGCGGGGATGCGGGAAGTTGATTTCACATCGAAGCGTTCAACCATGCTGTCGATATACGCGGTTTGGGAGATTCTAAGAGTCCCAGCCTCTACATCTCTCTCGATGGCACACCCATCAAACCATTGACACTCTCCAAGGTTTTTGGTGGGAAATTTCTTGTTGAGAGAAGCAAGCAACTCCTCGCAATCCTCGTCAGACCCAGCCACCAAAATGTCATCCACATAAATCACGATAATCATCACCACGACTTCGTCTACCATCTTGCGGAAAACACACGGGTCCGCCTTGCATTGCTCGAACCCGTTCTCGACTAGCGTATCAGCAGCGTGGTACCCCCACTGCCTACCGCTCTGCTTCAGACCATAGATCGCACGCTCAGCCTTGACAATCTGATGCGATTTGTCCCCGCACCCAGCGGGGAGCCTCGGAAAAACCTCCTCGTCTAGCGTAGCGTGTGGAGACGCCTGCTTCACATCCCAGTGATTGAGGTTCATGCCCTTCTCGTTTGCTACCGCAAGCATCAGCATAATGGATGCGGATGAGGGGCAAGGAGAAGACGAACGGAAATAATCGACGTTCGGGAGTTGCGAAAACCCCCTAGCAACCACACGCGCTTTGAACTTGTCTATTTTCCCTTCCTTGTTGGTCTTCCAACTAAAACACCACTTTGAGCTCACAGGCCTGCGCCCCTCTGGCGCACCGTCTACGAATGAAAACGTCCCCGTGCCCAAGTGCCCTTCAAACTCTTCCCTCATGGCCTGTTCCCACCCCTCTCGGTAAACAGACTTGGCAACGCCGGCTACAGTCATGGGTGGGGCTTCTACATCACTCGGACGCTTGCCTATGGGGGATTCACTTAGCTCGTGGGACGCCAGAACCGTCTCGAAGGCGTCTGGCGAGTTGAGCATGAGGTCCACCGTACCCAGCAGGACATCCTCCGCCTCTTGGCGCGCAGCGTGGGCCTCCTCTGCGCGCTCGGACAGCAACCCTCGCACCACCCTCGCCTCTAGCCCCTCCGCCACGTGAAGTACTGCCGAGAGCATCCAGCGGGTGAACTCCTCCGTGCTGCTGTCGGGCAGGCTCGCCACCGAGGCGAGCAGGGCTTCGGCACTTGTCGGCGACGGGGCCGATGTGGGCGGCGACGGGGGCGACTCGTACCTCGGATTTCGGCGAGGGTTCTCCCTAGTGCGGCGGCTGGTGAGTTCCGCCGGCTTGTCGAAGCGGGCGAGCCGCCGGGCCTCTGGCCCACAGAGCGCCGGGAGATCCGTCTCGCTGTCGCTGCCACTGCTGCTGTCGCTGCCGCCGTCATCGACGCTGCTGCCACCGCTGCTGCTGTCGCTGCCACTGCCGCCGCTACCGCGGCTACTGCTGTCGCCGCCGCTGCCGCCGCTGCCGCCGCTACCGCGGCTGCTGCTGCTGCGGCGGTCGTCCTCGCCGCCGCCCACATCGGCCGTGCCGGTCGACGTGGTAGATGGGGCGACGCTCGCGCTCTCCCTGCTCGAGGGGGCGCCATCGCCAGCGTCGCCCGCGCCCGACTCCTGGGGCGCGGCCGGCGGTGCCGCCGGCGCTGCGCGCGCGGGCGGCCCCGCGGGCCCTGGGGCTGCCGTCG